TCTAGAGAACAAGATACACTCAAGGATTTTATTTCTGAGAATCTAGCTTTAGAAAGGATTCAATATTTAAAGTCCTTCATAGTGTTGCCTTTCTTCTTTATTAAGAAAGAGGATGGATCTTTGAGACTGATCTAAGATTACAGAAAGCTTAATAAAGGTACTATTAAGAACAAGTACCCTCTACCTTTAATTCAAGAGCTTCTAGATAAGGTTAAAGATTCTAAGTACTTTACAAAGCTTAATGTATGCTAGGGATACTATAATATTTGAATCAGAGAGGGTGATGAGTAGAAGGCAGCTTTCAGAACAAATCTAGGATTGTTTGAGCTTATAGTTATGTTCTTTAGTCTTACAAATGCTCCTACTACATTCTAGAGCTTTGTAAACAATATCTTTAGTGAATTAATTAATAAGGAATTAGTTATTATCTATCTAGACAATATTCTCATCTATTCTAAAGATATTAAAGAGTATAAACACTTAGTTTAAAGGGTTTTTACAATTCTGTAAGAGAATCACTTGTTTCTTAAACTCTAGAAGTGTGAATTCAAAAGATCTACTACTAAGTATCTTAGACACATTATTAGGAACAATAAGATTTGAATACACCTGAAAAAAGTGAAGCCTATTAATGAATAGCTAGAACCAAAGAACTTGAAGCAATTACAACAGTTTACTAGTTTCTGTAACTAGTATTAGAGATTCATTAAGGACTATAGCAAAATAGCTTGTTTACTTACTAAACTAACTAGGAAGGTTCTATTTACTTAGGGAAATAAGTAAAGAGAGGCTATAGAAGAGCTTAAGATACAATTGAGCTTACAGCCTGTCCTTACAATTCTAAATGAGTATGATCTCTTTAGAGTAGAAGCCAATTTGTCTAATTATACACTTGGAGCAGTCCTTTCTCAAAGTAAAATGGTGTATAGTGTCTTGTAGCATTCAGATCTCAGTCTCTAAACTCTGCAGAGTGAAATTATAAGATCTATAATAAAGAAATGCTTGCTATTGTTAAAGCTATTAAGGACTAGTACTAGTACTTGTTGAGAGTAAGACAAATCTTTAAAGTATAGTCTGTCTATACTAATTTGACATACTTTAAGGCTCTCTACAAGTTAAACTACAGACAGGCTTGCTAGAGAACAGAACTGGCAGACTATGACTTTGTTTTAATACATAAACCTGGAAAAACACTTGTAAAAGTGGATACACTGTCTAGAAGTCCTCAATTTGATAAGGGAGAACATGATAACAAAGATGTTACCTTTATTAAAGACTCCTAGTTAAGAGGAATAGTGTATACAGGTAGTAAAGTCATTCTGTAAAAGATCTAGAATACTCAGCAGGAATTGTTAGACAAAGGAGAGGAGTACCTAGCTAGTATACTTAATAGAGATGACTACATATATAGGAATTTAAAGATATATGTTTCATTAGACCTTGTACTAATAGTTCTGAAGGAATATTATGATTCCCTACTTGTAGAACATTCAGAGTATAAGAAGACACTTGAAATGATCTAGAGAGAGTTCTGGTAGCTATAGATAAGGACAAACACTAAGAAGTATGTTCAAGACTGTAATAAATACTAAAGAACAAAATCCCTACACACTACAAGACAAAAGGCATTACATTCTCATAATACACTTGCTAGACCTTAGCAGATAATATCTGTTGATTTAATTAGTGAATTGCCTGAGTCTAAGGGATTTAACACTATCTGTGTTATTGTAGATTGTTTCTCTAAGCAAATACATACTCTTTCAACTACTACAAAGGTTATAACTGAGAGAATAGTTAGACTGTACAGGGATCAAGTCTTTAGACTCTATAAATTACCTAGAAGGATTATACATGACAGAGGACTGTAATTTGATACTAAATTCATAAGAAAACTGTACAAAGCTCTTTATATTAAAGAGAATCTCTCTATAGTATATTATTCTCAAACTGATAGTCAAACTGAGTATATTAATTAAGAGATAGAACAGTATCTCTACTTGTATGTTAACTATAAATAGTTAGACTGGGCAGAATGGATTTCTATAGCTGAGTTTGTATATAACAATTAAGAACACTCTGTTACAAAGTTCTCTCTGTTCTATATCAACTCTAGAAGACACTCTGTAGGCTTTAAATTGGTTTTAACTAAGACTAATACATATTCTGTTAAATAATAAGTTAAGTACATTAATGATGTTTAGGAACTTATAAAGAAAAGTCTGAACCAAGCTACTAAAGCTATAAAGAAGTACTATAATTGTTATTCAGGCCCCTTTATATAGTATAAGCTAGAAGATATAGTGTATTTAGACTCAAGGAACATAAAGACTATTAGACCTACTAAGAAGTTTAATAATAAGTAGTTTAGTCCTTTTGAGATTGACTCAAAGGTTAGAGCTAGTATATATAAGCTTAAACTACTTTAGGGATAGTTAATTCACCTAATGTTTAATAAGATTCTGCTCAAACTATATGTTTCTTAAGTCTTTAACATTCAGAAGGCTCCTCCTCCTCCTCCTTCTAAACTTGTAGATGATGAGATCAAATACAAAGTCAAGACTATTCTTGACTCTTAACTCTATAAGGGAAAGCTTTAGTATCTTGTCAAATGGGTAGGATACTAGGAAACAACTTAGTAGTCTGAAAATAACCTTACTCATACTTAGAATACTATTAGGGACTTTTACAAAGTACACTCTAGTACTCTAAGACAACTGAACATTCTAAAGGGAACCTTTAAGGACTTTAACACTTTACTTAAGTAAAATAGTCTCTAAATTCAGTTGTCTAGAACATACAACCTAAGGAGGAAGATAATGTTAGGATTGTAGGATTGGACCTATTTTATTTTCTTTATATCTCTGTCAGTTTTGTGAAAAACTAACATTAGTACCAGATTTTCATAATCCTTAACATTTTATCTATTGTTCTACAAAGTTTTATAAAGATTGGCTTAGTATTGAGTGTAGGAGAGAGCTACAAAGATGTAAGGTAGTGTATACAATTATAATACAGCTAATCCATTTCTTGCCTAACATAGTAACTTGCACCTCTCTTGTGTAATAGTCTCTTAATTTATATTCTCTAATGTGTAACACTCTGTTAATTCTTCCTAGCCTCTAATACACCTGTTAGCTTTGTAATATTTATCCTTATTATTTCTTTTATCTTATTCTCAAGTTTCATTCTTTACTTTACTCTTGTTATTTAGTTATTATAATAAGCAGTCTGTAGATACAGTAGTTCCTTAGTTTTTTGACTCTTCTTATACTCCTACTTGTTCTTCTAGTATAAATCCCAGCTAGTAGCTTTGGGAATATAGTTAGATTAGGGCTGTAGGTCTACATTTGCAGTTTGAGAGTACTATAAACCTAGAGAACACATCTCCCCTAACAACTAGAGTCTAGACAATCATTCTAATTAGTAATCATTTTGTATAAGAAATACACTCTTATATTATAAGTTACATTTAAGTATTATAAGATTACTTAACTTGTATTTTGTATCAAATAATCTGACAGAAACAGTTGTTATAGAAAATACTTGTAATAAAGCTAAGCAAAGTTGTTTTCCAGACTGCTAGCTATACAAGTCAGATACATGTATTAGAATTATAGTATTCTGATTATTGTTAAGTTACTAGATAACTTTCTATAAACTTTTGAAAGGATTTTCAGACTAAAAAAGTACTAAAAAAGGAGTAGTCTGAGTATAAGCAAAGGGTTGTAATTGTAAGTAATATGTAAACTGGATAACACTTGTAGTTTACTTGTTTTCAGTCTAAAGCTCTGTAAAAAGGGTCTAATCCTCTCTTTTAAAGTAGAAAGTTGTTCTATTCATCAAGTACCTGTCTTAAAAGGAATGAGTAAGATCATACAGATCTTATCTATACTCTTTTTGTACACAAATGCTTCAGATGCTGCCTTAAGTGAAATAGAATTAAAATGATCTAACAACTGTAGAAAAATACACTACAGTCTAAAATAATTTTTTTCAATTTTACTTATAAGACAGGTACAAGTATTTTGGATTTTGGAAGCTTCCAAAATCATACAGGAAGTCACCCACTGGTATAGCTGCCAACTGCACTCAAACTCATACTTGACAATAAGACAGAACAATTAAAACCCAAAATCAGTTGTCCCTTAGAACGAGTCACCTTCACGTGATTGAGACGCGGTGCTATGGCTGACTAATAATAATACAATTTGCGTGCGCGCGTACTTTTGGAAGCCACGATCATTCATTGCGAATCTCTGTCTTCTACCACGACCATGCGTGAAACAACTTCGCGCCATTTCCTCGATGTCTCCTTCTCCCGCAATCAACAAACCGGGTATTTACTCCCTACCTGCGATTCCGTTGATTTCCCCCGTCTTGCGGAATGTCTGTCACTAGGGTTTATCAGTTGCGAAGACGCATCGGACTCGGAGCCTGAGCAGAAGGCTCCTGGTTCTAGGAAGCGATCCAAAGGAAAGCGAAAATCAATACCGAAGAAATTTGCTCGCCCGGTGAAACGCGGGAAGATAGAGGGGTCATCTGCTGCCGGCGGCATTGCCAATGAGTCTGCTGTTCCAATAATCCGTCATACCTTTGAAATAGAGTTCGTTCTTGCTGAAGAGGAACAAGACGTACCTGAAATGCAGCAATCTATTTCACCCTTTCGAGATTTTTTGCACGTCATCTCAAGCAAATGCAGCGAACAAGCTCAAGGGCAAGACGAGATTATCTTTGACGTCGGAACGATATATCCACATGCGTACCTGGGCAAGGTTCATGCATGCAAAGACGATCCCTTTGCGAATGGCCGCATGTTTCCTCTTCCACTCTCAAGCCTGATTATTCTTCCCTCCCTGTTCGACTCTGTTAAAGATATAGATCACGATTTCAATTCACGCTCTCTCAAGGACATCCTTGCTTCGGCATTCAAGTTACAGCAAAACCGACGCGCTAGAGTGTCAGGTCCACTTTATGTTATTGTTCCCAATCACACGGCAATGAACAGAGAAGACCGCATAGTACCCGTCATCTTGCGAGCGGAAATCACCATTTCCTTGTTAGAACCAGCTGTCTTCGAACCATTGACAACGTTCCGAAAGAAGGATTCAGAAATAGAGGAAGCTCAGAGGCGTGTTTTGACCTATGCTTTTGGCCCAGGACCTCCACCACCAAAAGCCTACAGCGGTTCTACAGATATGCCGTTCTTCTTGTCATGTTTACATCCCGCTGCGCCGCTCCCTTCAGATGAAGCCAATCAAGCTGCTCAACCTGCCGATCTCCTTCCGCAATTGCTTCCATTTCAACGACACACGGTTAACTGGCTTCTCTCGTGCGAAGCGCGGCGAATTTCTGAAAAAGGCCAGATTGAGGATCTAGATAACCATGGGTCAGAATTGCCATTGTTCTGGGAGGAAGTTAGTCCCGTAGACGGAAAAACGTGGTATTTAAACCACATAACCGGTTGTTTGTTGAAAGAGCCACCACCTAAAGACGAATTCTTTGGAGGCATTCTTGCGGAAGAGCCTGGACTTGGGAAAACGCTCGAGAGCATTGCTCTTGTATTATTGAATCCCAGTATTGATCGCAACCCCTCGGTCAGTAGGTGGGATCCCGTCGGCGTTATTGACGTCAAGGAAGTCAAGGCGAGTACTGCATACCTTTTGGTCCTTGTGTGAATTAGTTGTGACGGAGAAATTATAGACAACTTTAATTGTGACGCCTGCTGCTCTTGCACAACAATGGGTTGACGAACTCAAGTTACATGCACCGTCGTTGAAAGTACTTGTGTATGAGGGATGGACGAAGGTTCCTGTACCAATCACGGCACGTGAGGCACAGGACAAAGCATTGCAGCGCTTACGGATGTTGAGGGAGCCACGCATGCGGGAGAAACTTGATGACAACGACATTCCGGATGAGGATGACGTGGTCGACCTGGAACTGACAGCTGAAGAGAAGAAAGAACTTGCCGAGGCTGCGAATCAGATGACATGGTGTGATTTTGTTCATCAATACGATATCTGTATAACAAGTAAGTGAATCATATTTCCAGTCTGGATCATCAACTTATGACGTTTAATCGATAGCCTACAACAATTTGCAGCACGGTATGCCTTTAACGCTAGAATAGAGTCAGTGAAACAATATTGACTATCTGCTACTAGATCTGGGCGTTGCACGAGCACCTTTACAACGACCACGTAGAGAAGTTGCTAAGTACGCCGACATATATCGCGACCGTTCTCCCCTCGTTATGGTAGAATGGAATAGGGTAATCATGGACGAGGTTCAGATGGTAGGAGGAGGGAAGACAGAGTTCGTGAATTCCAAAGATAATCTAAGACAGTAGTGCTCAAAATCGCTTTTATAGAGAGATGGTGTCGCTTATCCCTCGATTGTCGAGCTTCGCAGTGTCTGGGACACCTGCACGTGCGAAAGTTGATGACCTCGTTCATGTTATCAAGTGAGCAAAATATCCCGCCCACTTATCAGCATCGCTACTTACAAATATGCGCATCTTTAAAAGGTTTTTGCGCATAAATTCCGTCATAGGCTCGCCGAAAACCTGGTTGCGTTTACAGAAGCCCGCATTCGCAGCATATTTCAGAGACCTGTTCGGACGGATTGCCGTTAGGTAAGTCTGTTGTACGGCCGAGTGTTCTTGCTATCTGAAAGTTCTCTTGTTCAGGACGATGAAAGCAAAGGTGCAGAATGAACTTACAATCCCTCAGCAGAGTCGATTTGCTGTACCTATCGAATTGGGAAAAGTCGAGAGACATGTCCGTAGCTCCTGACCTTCAGAGACCTATTTCTAACTTATTCATTATTCAGATCTATGACGAGAACTTTGAGCAGGCATTGAATGATCTCGGTCTCGACTCACGGGGCGTAGCTGCTTCGTCATCCTGGCAGCTTGACGTTATGATTCTTCGTAATTGGATGCGCCGTCTGCGTGGTATATGTACTCATCCACAAGTGGGTAAGCTTGCAAGGCAAAACGATCGATTATCGAGGGCTGGCGCCGCGTTGAAGAGTATAGGAGAAGTTCTCGAGGTACGTATTATAGGGCATTATCAGGAACACTTCTCTTAGTCATGTCTACTTCCAGGACATGAAAGATCAGAATTGGCGGAAACTTATGGATGAAAAGAAGTCGAAAGTGAGTAAAATATATATTCTCATCCTTATCTCTCAGTAACAATTCCCAGATTCAAACCCTTGTCAGACGATCACAGCTCATCCAGCACAGTGATAATCCTCGGAGGTCCAGAATAGCATTAGAAATACTTCTGAATGCTCGTGAGGGAATGGATAAGTTGTGCACCGAAATTTCGGATGTCATCACTGAGCATAACGCTAAGGGGGAAATACTAAAGCGGGAAGCGATAGAGGAGCAGCGGTCAGCGGAAGAACGCGATTCTGGTTCAACGTCTAAAGGCAAGAATCCGGAGCGCGAAGCCAGTATGGCGCCTACGGATAATTCGTTGGAGGATGATCTTCCGACGACACCTACGGGCGTGGAACATCGACATAAGAAACATAGCCTTCAGGCGCGGCTCCGAGAGGCTCATGTCCTTTTGCATCAGATTTACTTCCGGCTCGGTGACGTATATCATTCTCTGGGCGAATCACACAGTAACGAAGAGAATCATTCGTACGGAGCGGCTGAAGTGCTGCGCAAACGACTCTTGAATAGTTCGTTCTCTCACTCTATGAAATATTTCGCAGAAGAACTGATAGTGTTCATACTCTATAGCGACTGAGCAAGTTGCGAACCGTTCAATTGCACAGGTCAAACTGACGGCCGAGAGAAAGACTATCACTAAGGAAGATATGGCGGTTGAACATTGCGGAAAAGGTGGAATAAACAGCGAGGAGCTCGTAAGTGGCAATGCATTTATGTTTCTGTACATGCGCAAACTCTACTTTCACTTCAGCTTCGTAAAGCGGACAAAATCATCGATATATTAAACCAGCAAGCAGAACTCCTCATCGATTGGCGGGTTCGAATCTTCAAGCTTCTTACTGAGAGTTTATCCGCTAGCGAGGGTGACAGCGCAGATGGAGAAGAGTACGCGCGAACACTCGAGACACAGGGAGAAGCAGAAACATACCTACAAGCGTTTGTAGCATTGCTTGCTGACCGCCGAGAGCTACTCGTAGCAGAACGCACTGCTCTTGCTGCTCATGAATCGAAAGAGCGTAGGGTGCGACACACTGCTGCAGCACAGAGAGCTAAGAATGTCGAGGGCCTCAATCCTGAAGAGATGGCACCTGAGCATGAAGTGTTAGAACAAGAACTAACGGAGAAGCGTAAAGCAGCTAAAGCGGATCACGACGGAAAGGCTCTCAAATCCATATTCGTCCAGTTGCAACAAGTTGCGGGAAGTTATGTCAACGAGAAGGATCCAGAGAAAATAATTGCCAAGCAATGGATCACCAATCTGAAATTGATCATGAAAGAACAAAGTTTGTTTTTGTTCTTTGTTCGTCTGAAATAAGGTTTGCTAACTTTGGGTGAAAAATAGCGAGCTTCCATGAGAAGCTAGACGCTGACCTAGCGCCACTTCGCAAAGCCTTTAACGATCGCATTCAGTACGTACATAAGCTCAAGCTCCTAACCTTCGTAGACTCATTAATTTGCAGATATTTCCGTCAGCTTCAAGAACTTTCTGACTCCGTTCGCGACGTCGATTGGGAAGGATCGATAGACGATGCAATAGAGAAGACTCATGTTGATGAAGACACTACTGACAAGAATATTAACGAGCGTCGAGCACGACAACGGTATTTACGAAACTTAACTGAAAACGAGGGGGACGAAGAAGATGAAAAATGTTGTATCTTGTGCCGGTGTGAATTCGTTCGGGGCTTCATGACACAATGGTGAGTTCATTCCCGTTCATTCATGATTGACTCACAGGTGAACGTGACTTCTTTCTTAATATAGCGCACACGTTTACTGCGAGGTATGATAGAGCTACTACGAATATGGACCTTTGATGCTGATGGATGACGTGTCCAGGACTGTTTGAAGGCTTGGTTCTCTCGCGGTGTTGGAAGAGCTTGTCCAATTTGCCGGTAAGTAATGTACTTACATGGATTCTTTGCTAGAAAATTTACTGACTCCGCGGCCAGTGTCGCCATTGATCCAGATCAGTTGCAACGAATCACTTTGGAAGAGAAGAAAGTGGATTCGTCAAGTCCAAAGAAGCGTTACGTACCCGACAGCTCCGAGAACGCTCCTCATTCTAGACGTGTTATCGAATACAATACGATCGATTCAGATGTTTTTGAAGAACTGCGGAAGATCGTGTGCCTCGGTAGCTACGGGACAAAGATCGAGACCCTCGTTCGTCATCTTCTCTATCTCGAGGAGGTCGATCCGGGGTGCAAGAGTATCGTCTTCTCGGCCTGGGCTGACTCCCTTTATAGTGAGTGATACTTTTGCCTTGGCTTAAGGTTAGAAAAATATCTGAATTCGGTTCAGTCTTGGAGCGCGCATTGACTGAGAATGGAATTGCGTGCCTTCGGATCGACCAAAAGAAGGGAGGACAAAATGCTGCGAAACTCTTCAAGACGGACCATCGCATCCGAGTCTTACTGCTTCATGGGTACGTAATTTCCCTTTATCATCTTCTTTATCTATAATTTCCGACGATCGCCGTCAGTGAACGCGAGAATGCCGGGTTGAATGTGACAGTATGTATTGCTGGATATGAGGACCGGTTATATGGCTAATCCCTTCGTATGTCGATTCAGTGTGCTTCGCGAGTCTTTCTGACAGAGAGTGTCGTGCAACATTCATTCGAGCTGCAAGGTACGCATTACGCAGTAAGCTTCGTTAGAGCTTTTACAAATTACTCATGAAATTACATCCTTTAGCGATTGCTAGGATAGACCGATTGGGTCAAACGCGCCCCACTGAAGGTAGGAGGACAGACACAATGTGTCTTTTACATTCATCTCAAATTCTATGGTTACTGACATCTCTTACGTAGTATATTGTTATTACGCAGAGAGTACGTGTCGACTTGTACTTCTTCGGTTCAGACAATTGACATTTACACGTACGCAGACACTGTTGAAAGGAATATCCTTGACTTGGCCGCGAAGCGTGGCTTGTCGTTGTATACAAAGGATCATGCGATCGGGACGGTTAAGGTGACGTCTTTCGAAATGGATAAAAACAGGCAAATCGATTCGCCTGTGAAGAATAGCAAGAAGCAGAAGGGCCAGAAGGGTGACTTCATATTCAAGTGCGTTGTTTGTGTTTCACACCTCACCTGGCTTCTTTCTCTCTCTTGTCGCCACAGTGCTGGTTGCTGACTTTTGGATGTGCCTGTATGCGACCCTCTTTTTTTGTGCAGGGCGGATGACATGCTGGCGATTTTATTCCCCCATCTGTTCGAGGACGTCGAGTATCTGCTTCCCGAAGGAACGGAGACAGACATGTTGGGTGGTGATTTTGGTGATTTTGATGACGGCAATGATGGCGAAGATGCCAATGCCATCAGTGAACAAACGCAGCCTGTTGCTGGACCGTCTAGACTTGCAGATCTGATGAATGGAAGGACTAGTGCGTAAAGGATGGACATGACATGAACGTACTTGTAGATACCCAGACCGCATATAAGTACTGTACTGCGACTGTGGAACTAAGAATTCGCCTTGCTGTGCAAGTTTTCCCTTTTGACTTCGGAGTGTTCCATATTTGGCAAGGACACCTCGGTTAGCGCTTTGGCATATCACCTGCTCGGCTGTGTCCTCTCTGCATCTCTTCCTTGCTCTCGTCCCCCCATCACCTGCTTTTCCAGCGCCGACGGGTGTGCAGACCAGTACGTCTTTGTGCGCAGAGTACACGTCGCATTGAGAAAGGGGGAAGACACCAGAAACGTGTTTCCTCGAGGCAACTATACAGCCACTGCTTCCGACCTCAAGGCTGGCTCGTGTCCGCGCGATACCTCTTCATATCCGATTGCATTTTTCCGCGTAAAACCACTTATCGCTTTGTCCACCCACATCATCATGTCCCAGCAACAACTTGACGCTGCTGCTACTGTTGCGCCTCCACCGATGAGCGCACCGTCCACCTCCACGTTCACCTTCGCGACCCCATATCCCCCGGCGGCTACGGCCACGGTCGGTTCCCAAGCCACCTTGAAGCAGCGACGCGTTTCTCTTGCACTCCCAAACTCGCCGAGACTTGTGCCCGCCTGGAGCTTCAGGGACGACACAACCATCGACGCGCACGTTGCGTCCAGTTCGCAGATTCCACAAGACAAGAAGGGCAAGATGCGCAAGGCCTCAGCTGATGAACAGAAAGTCGCCGACAAGGCGTCCGTACAAGTACCCGAGAAGCGCCAGCGCAAGAAATGGACTGAAGAAGAAACACAAATGCTTGTCAATGGCTGCAACGTTGTAGGTCTTCTTCCTTATGCTAAGTGCTATCTCGGCTAAGCGACTTTTTTCTTCAGTGGGGAGTTGGTAACTGGAAAGCCATTCTCAACGATCCGAATCTCAAATTCGACAGTCGCTCTCCCGTGGACCTTAAAGACAGGCGCGTACCCCTCGTTTGCATCATGATGCGGTCATACTTAATTTTCATGACTCTTTCATTTCAGGTTCCGAACGTTCTTCCCGGACGCTTACAAGCTTCATTATCCTAACGCGAAAACGCACTTGTCGTCCAAAGTCCGTTCTACATTACCTGATGGTTCATCTCTTTTCGAAAAAACACGAAGCAAGAAGCGCCGACCATTTACCCCAGAGGAAGATCAGGCGCTTAAAGCAGGTTACGAGAGATACGGTACCGTTTGGTCGACTATCGTTAAAGATCCCATCTTCCAAGAGCAGAAGCGACGTTCCACCGACTTGCGGGACAGGTTCAGGAATGCGTTTCCTCATCTGTACCAGGCTGCTGGCTATAAGCCGAGAAGCATGCCGAAGAAGAAACGTGGTGATGCGTCCATTTCGGCTCCTCGTGCGACCGCGGACGATCAGCTTCTCCCGACGCGAATGGCGGGCACTGCACGCCGAAGAAGGTCTCGCACGACCACTGGGCACTCTTACAGCGTCCCTCAGAGCGCAGCTGTCTCCGAGGATGAAGATACCTCTGACGAAGAAGAGGAAGACGCGGAAGTCAAGAGGCGGCCTAACGGTCTTCCGAGTGAACTAGTGAAGGAGATGACGCCCCAGCCTGAGACGACTCACTTCAGTCCTCCTGAGTCTATGCTTAACGAAGTGACAATGCATACCATTGACCAACTAGACGACCTGGCGTTCCCAGACTTCTTACCAGACTCTTCTCAGGCTCTGTCAGACTCTACAACCGAGCACTCCATTTGGTCTTCTGGTCCACGCAGCCCTCAGCAGATTGACAGTTGGTCATCCGCGGCGACGACGACCACTGCATCTCCAACCTCGTCACATCTATCAATGAACGACTATTTCATGGACTCTACTGCTACTATTGGACGACGAGAAGGCATGAATATGATCGGCAAGTCTGCATGGGGAACCTCGGATTGGCTTTCTGCGAACCCGCGCATGGATCCGTCAACCAGCAGCAACTCGTCGTTTGCTGACGGCCCTTCTCCGCCCCCATCGTCGCCATTTTCCTTCAGCAACCTTTCGCACGGAATTATGGATCGCTACGATCTCTTTCAGAACTCGATCGCGCACGACTTTGCCTCCGAGGTCGGCGCAAGCGACGCGTATTCGACGTTCTCCGATCCGGAACTATTCCCGTCGCAGAGCATGCGCGGTTTCACTCATCACTCGAACTATGCTGGAGATCTCATCTTCGGCGCGCGTACACATCAGCCTGCGGCACCTGCAAACACCTTCAGTGGCCTCGGTCTTAGTGGAATGCACGAACAGACCGCAGGCATTAACCCTATGCAGTTGCACACTCCGAGTTTACCTGGGATTGACGAGTTGGCGGCTATCAACCTCAATGATGATGATGAACCGATGATCGCATCGACAACAACGACGGAGACCAGTGTCAAGAAGGACGACACCGAGTCATCACTTGCTTTCGATGCAGACCTGAGCTCTCTTATTCACCTACCACCGCAAACTTTGGAAGAGATCGCCGGATTGAGCGGGGACGTCTCGCAAATGGAACAAGAATCCGCCGTTACTCCTCCAGCAACTCCTGCTCTTACCAGTCGTGTTACCCGCGAACAACAAGGCACCTCATACTCCGCGCACAATCGCTCCATGTCGGTACCGCCATTCGAGCGCGTTGTCTCGCGCCAACCTCCGCCACCGGGTCACGCGACACCCCATCCTGCACCTACAAGGTCATTGTCGCAATTCGACATTCCGCCATTCTCGCATGATGCAGACTTGGCTTCGACCCTCCAACCGAACACGATGCAGACCAACTCTCCTACCAGCACCTTAAGCGCATCTTCGTTCTTCAGCGCCTCACTCATCAACGATTCATTCAAGTCCTTAGACTTATCCGACCTAGTCTTCCTCGACCTACACGCTCCCACATCCGACTTCACAACCCACGACCTTATCGACTCGCACACAGACGAAGCACGGAATGGCCAAGCCCTCGACTTGGCTCAGTCACCGTCGCATAGTATGTCTAGTATGTCCAATTCCATCTTACACAGCGGAACAGGGGTTAGTGGTGGAATGGATACGTCATCCCTCTCCCTCTCACCATTACCAATGTTCGACACAATTGGCAGGGCGGCTGGATCCGCCTTGCATCAGCGTGTGCAGTCGCAGACGAACTTGGCTGTTGCGCCGAAGGATTTGTTCTTGCCAACGTATGATAGTAAGCAGAAGAGGGCAAGTTGGGATGGGACGCAGGTTTGAGTTGATTGATGATGTTGGGTGATGGATTGGTGTGATGTCGGGTTACGATTTCCCTTTTCCTTTTTTTGTGCCTTTCTCTTCTTTTTTTGTGCCGTCCCCCTAATCCCCTCGGTTTCTCTGTGTCCTGACGTTCTTTGACTCTTCATGCATTGTACACATGCATTATGCCCCACTTTCTTTACGTCTCCGCGTCTCTGCGAATGTTTCCATAGCTGGATTTTCCTCTCCTTTTCACTTTCTTTATCTGTTTCATTTTCGCTCCACTCAAACAACCTACACCCACACACTTTCTGCATTTTCTTAACAGACCTATCCAGCATTACTCTCTTGCTCTCCTACTCTCTTACTTTTCCTCTTACTCTCGCTCTCGCATTGTATCATTGGCTCGCGCAATTCGTCGTCGTTGGGAATGGGTTTTCCTTGTCTCTCTGCCTTATTCATTTTCCTGTCTTTTGTCTGTTCTTTCTTTAGTTATATCCCTTGAGTCCTTGAATGCAGCTATACATATTACTAATGATGTTCTGTACTCCTTCAATGAAGTACAGTTGGGTAAGAACTAAGTACAAGGTGAAAAGGTAAGGGTGTGGTAAGTTCGAATCGAATAAATGTGTTTAAAGAATATGGGGTTACTCGTAAAGACCGAAGACTGACGCCGAACCATCGGTACAAAATGAAACTAAGGATAGATCCCCGTACACGTCAACACACTGCTCCAGTCAAATACAAACCCAGTCAAACAACCCAATCATATCATAATCGTTTCAATATGAACATCATTCTGAAAGTCGTTCCAAAACAGAAGTCAACAAAATGCGGGAAAGGCAGAAGGGGTGGGCCTTAAGTCATAGGTATAGTCTTATAGATATATCTGCATGATCACACTTTTTTTTCTCTCAGACAGAGCTTTCGATTTTTCCATGAAATACCATTGGGTAAGAAGTACAAGGTAGAAATGTAAACATGCAGTAAGTTTGAGTACATGTGTGCAATGCAGCCACTCATAAATTCCAATGTCGGACAACCCATGGAAAAATAAAACTATATAATAAAACCTCCGTATACGCGCTCGAATAAGCGAATGCAAATATCGGAATAACCCAATCATATAACCTAATCAGAATCATCAATCGTCAGTGTTGTTGAGAAAGTCGTTCCAGAATAGAAGTCAACAAAGGCAGGAAGGAAGATCGAAGAGGTGTTGCCTTGCGAGTAATAAATTACAAGAATAGATATATCTACACAAATCATGATATTTTATTAAATTGAGCTTAGGATGAGTATATTTTTAGGTCAACGCACAAATCGTCGCATATAATGCACTCAATGACTGTGGTGCATAGGAGGAACCTAAGTGATGACACAATACGTGCCACTCCCGCCGTTGCCGTCATCATAAGATACGGGGACGCTAGTGTCTGCCTCGTTCTCTTTCTTCTTCGAGACAAAGATGGCTGTGAAGGAATCCATTGTTGGTAGTTTGGTAACTGGTGGGAACTATACGCGAGGAAGCTCGAAAACCTTGGAGTTAGAGGTATGTGCTTCGCTGAAAGGTCCAGAAGAGATGTATCGTCAGAACGACGGACGAAGCGGATCAAACAAGTGCTTTTATACCCCTTCCCCCTCTACTTTTCCTTTCATAAAGTCATACAGCCGGATTGACGTTTGACAATAACATCAAGGAATATGTAACACGTAGCATGTAGCACATAGTATGTACCTCTTCCTCTCGCCATTTATGCAGCCGAATTGATGCGGTACAATAGTAGACGAGCGAGCGAAAACTAAATAAAAGGACGGGAAAGGGGAAATGGGGAAGGAAGAAAAGGGGAAAATCCTCTGCATGCTTGAAAAATTGACACGGTACTTACTATTTAGCTCCGGCGTCCGCCTAGGATCTGCATGCGTTTTGCATATTGAAAAACTTTGTGCATGAGTACCTGATCGACGTGGGTCTTCAATACATTCGATATTTGAATAATTTTGTATGCACCTATTTGGCTTTCCTTTTCGGGAAGAGACAAATAGAACAAATGGACACACAAAAACGTGTGATCAAGAGTCAGCAAAGTGCAGGGACATAATTGAATTCTGAAGATGCAAGGAGAAGTAAAACAACAAAAGAGTAAACTTTCATTTTTTGCTAATTTTGTCAAACTGTAAGCAGGCTGAAAGGAACAAAAATGAGCTTTTAATATAGTGAAATGGAGAGTGTCTCAAGTGTTCAATGCAACTCTAGAGGGGCAATACCAAAGTGCTAGAGAAGAGGCCCAGTTACAGCCCTGGATTGTCCTGGCAGAACTAGTTACTTGATTAGCATGCAAAAACAAAATAGAGAGAGTTAGAGCTGTATTAAATATTAGGGAGCAAATGTTCAGAGTGTGTTTAAGAAGTGTCTTCAGGAGATTAAAATCATTAGGTCTGACTCTGTCCCTAGCTTTAAGTGTTCAGAAGATAATCATCTCTGAAACCTATAGTCTATACAAAGGGCTGAGGAGAGATTGTTTCATTTGCTAATATAGAATAATTGTCTAACAACACAGTACCTTCTGTGTAATATCTTTCCAGGACTAATAGACAAGACACATATTATACAGGGTATTCCTATAGATATCCAAATTAGCTACATTTCCTCAGTAATTTATACTAGTAGTATTACTGAGTAATTTAACCTACTGTACAAAGGTATTAATAATAAGAGTCAAGACAATAGGTAGAACACTATGTAAATTTTGTTTAGCCTTGTACAGATTTGCCAAAGTTTGATTTAGCACCATACTTCTTTAACAAGTCAATACACAATCAAAAATGCTCTAAATATTCCTGTACATGACTTTGCTCAATTTGAATCAAGGATTGATTACAATGTTAAGAACTTGTTAGAGTAGACTAACAGGAAACTCATCCATGTTCTCAAGGAAGACAGTTGTAAGTCTTGCATCAGAATATGTTTTGAAGTGGATATTCAACATACTATGTTTTATGTCTCATTTACTAGTATAACACAATGTATCTAGTATATAAGAGTGTGTATATATACACATCTAACTAAGTATCATTCCAAGCTCCCTATTCTAACAGGTTATAAGCCTTGCTAGCTTGTGAATAGTACTATTGACACAAACAACACTACAAATACAACCTCTACCTCAGATGTCTACCCCTCCTCCTAGTACTAGTACTCCACCTACAAACACAATGCCTCTAACAATACTACAATCTATGTTAATGTTTGAGTCTCTAAAGATTAATGACAATCAACTTACTATGTTCTTTAAAGACACAGAGAAGCTTACAAGCACAAAGAACTATAAGATATAGTAACTACACATTACAAATGTACTAGTAGCAATACTACTCAGTAACCATCTTACAAACAATCCCCCTAGTACAGATGTAGACAGTATACACATAGGGAAACTATTGTATCATTTCATAAAAAAGACAATATCAGATACAGTGTATGCTAACATTATAATGCACAAAACAATGAAAGACCTTATACAGGCACTAGCTGATCAATACAATGTGCAAACTATGTTGACTCACACAGTTGATATATTAGTACTGTTTACAGCTAGAGGACACGTTTTACAGTTTGACAAGACACTAGATCAAATAGAGTAAGTCTATACATAACTGGTAGCTCACAGTAAAGTACTAGACAATAACACTTATGTCTCAGTAATAAATCTCACTACTCTAAGAGAGTACAAGTGGGTTGTAACAATGATTAATAGGTAGAACACACATT